GAAGTTGAAGTCGTCCGAAAATTTTAAGGACACCATAACGAATTGGTTGACCATTTCTGTTTCACAGATGATGACGGATCTGTTCCGATTGACGTTACCTCTATCCAGTCCCTTTCCTAAAATGGGAAATAACAGAATTTGTACTTTTATGAGAAAGACGACGGTGCCACATGTATAGCAGGATCTGTTTACCGCTTTCGGAACATCTGAGATCACACCCGGTTTTTCGTGGGATTTATTTTGCTCTGTCTTTTGTTTTCTATGTTGTGTTTTGAAGAAAATAGTTTGTCTTTAGGGGTTATTTTTTAATTTATTTTTTTTTGCCATGGCGTAGTCAGTATTTTCTTAATGAGTTTAAATATCCATTTGGTATCTACTGCCTCTCTTTTAGATACAAGAGTGCACACGCTGAAATGTCTCGCCTGTTTTACTTATCATTGAATTTATGTTGAAAGTCTGTAACATGAAGGTTTTACCACAAGTATCACATAAACATAACATTATCAATGTTCTATGATAATGAGGTCATGGTCAGATGAACGAGGCAAGACAGACATGTACACCTTACAATCATTCAATACATAAAATATAGTTGACATGTTGCGTATAGTATCTGATAGACTGACAAAATCAAGAAAATAGATCATTGACCAATGAACCATGAAAATGAGGTTAAGATCAGATGATACCTGCCAGACAGACATGTACACCTTACAATTATTTCATACACCAAATATAGCTGACCTATTACTTTAAATATTTGAAAAACAGACCAAAACACAAAATTTAGCATTGATCAATGTACCATGAAAATAAGGTCAAGGTCAGTTGATACCTGCCAGAGAGACATTTACACCTTACAATCATTCCATACACCAAATATAGTTGACCTATTGCTTATAGTACTTCAAAAACAGACCAAAACACAAAAACTTAACATTGACCAATGCACCATGAAAATGAGATCAAGTTCAGTGGAAACCTGCCAGACTGACATGTATTCATTACAATCATTCCATACACCACATATAGTTATCCTATATCTATATCTCTTACAGGAAGCTTAATACCAAAATTTATGATAAAAGAGATGATTTTTCATTCGTTCGTGTATGTAACAACGTTGAAAGTCTGTAACATGAAGGTTTTACCACAAGTATCACATAAACATAACATTATTAATGTTCTATGATAATGAGGTCATGGTCAGATGAACGAGGCAAGACAGACATGTACACCTTACAATCATTCAATACATAAAATATAGTTGACATGTTGCTTATAGTATCTGATAGACTGACAAAATCAAGAAAATTTAGCATTGATCAATGAACCATGAAAATAAGGTCAAGGTCAGTTGATACCTGCCAGAGAGACATTTACACCTTACAATCATTCCATACACCAAATATAGTTGACCTATTGCTTATAGTACTTCAAAAACAAACCAAAACACAAAAACTTAACATTGACCAATGCACCATGAAAATGAGATCAAGTTCAGATGAAACCTGCCAGACTGACATGTATTCATTACAATCATTCCAAACACCACATATAGTTACCCTATATCTATATCTCTTACAGGAAGCTTAATACCAAAATTTATGATAAAAGAGATGATTTTTCATTCCCTATTGTTAATTATCCATGTTTAGATGGTGACGTTCCCTTGTCACCATCTTATGGTGTTTATATATCTTAACTTGTTTGATTCGCTCGTGTATGTAACAACGTATTTCGTTTTAATGAAAGAAATCTGAGTATTACTGAAAAAATTATTACACCAGGGTTTTCGATATCACAAACTAGTCAAAACATTGACTAAATTTTATCATCGATACAAGGACATCATTCGTAAATATAAATCAACATGCAGACATCTTATACGTTCAGGTATTTCACATCCAATCTTTTAGGGTAATATTCTTTACAAAGCACAAAAATGTCGGCATTCACCTCAAAAGCTAACCAAACCTTTAAACAGACTTATTCAGAAGGGATATAGTTACGATACTGTTGTCATGTCATTTAGGATAGCATATTTTGGTATTAATATTGATTCACTCATAATGTCTTTGCATCGGAAATAAACACATTTATTCTAAAACTAGTTGTTGGCATGATACGGGTTATGTTCTTCTCATATATTTTATGGCGGTATGATACTAAACCCCTAACGGGGGGATTGTGCTTGATTTTCATATGATGAAGACATAATCTTTCAATCAGTTTAATTGAGGTCTGGAGCTGGCAGGTCAGTAACTGCTAGTAGTCCTTTGTTAATTTATGTATCATTGTCATTCTGCTTAGTTTCTTTTGTTACCTATTCTGACATCGGACTCGGACTTCTTTTAAACTGAGTTTTACTGTGCGTATTGCTGTGTGTTTCTTTATTCTACAATGGCTAGAGGTATAGGGGGAGGATTGAGATCTCACAAAACATGTTTAACCCCGCCGCATTTTTGCGCCTGTCCCAAGTCAGGAGCCTCTGGCCTTTGTTAGTCTTGTATGTTTTTTTAATTTTAGTTCATTTATATGTTTGAGAGTTTAGTATGACGTCCATTTTCACTGAACTAGTACACATTTTTATTTAGGGGCCAGCTGAGCCCCGCCTCCGGGTGCGGGATTTTCTCGCTTCGTTGAAGACCCATTGGTGGCCTTCGGCTGTTTTCTGCTCTTTGGTCGGGTTGTTGTCTCTTTGACATATTCCCCATTTCCATTCTCAATTTTATCCTACTGCTTATAGTATTTGAGAAACGGACCTAATCATGTAACTTTAACCTTGATCACTGATCCATGAAATGAGGTCGAGGTCAGGTGAATCCTGTCTGACGGACATGTAGACGTTGCAAGGAACCCATATTTCAAATATAGTTATCCTATAATAAGTGAGAAATTCACATTACAAAATAAACTGTTATCACAGAGATATGTCGCGCCTTTTTGTTATTTTGATAATGCAAATGTTAAAATTAAAATAGCAATACTTTAACATGTAAGTTATGCAAATATTCAAAGTCGATGAACCATGGCTGAAGGTAAATGACTGAACAATCTCCATGGAAATGACATGTGCCAATGTTAATACAACTGCATACCAAATACTATTTACTAATCATAATTCGTTCCCTTTAAACAAAACTAAACACAAACATTAACTTGTAAACTATGTAAAAGTTTCAAAGTCAATTGAACCTTGATGAGGGGGTGGGGCTATATAATCGCCATGGAAATAAGACTTGCAAATGCCAATAATTTGCATACCAAATATCATTGACATAACATTAGCAGTTCATCTTAAACTGATGTAATCACAAACTAATACATATAAACTAAGTAAATGTTTCAAAGTCAATAGACTATGACTGAGGGGGGCGGGGCCAAATATTCTCCATGGAAATGAGATGTGCTAATGCTTATATATAAATACAACTGCATACCAATTAACATTGGCCTACCACTAATGGGTCCCCTTGAACTGACCTAATCACAAACTAATACATGTAAACTTAGCAAAATTTTCAAAGTCAATAGACCATGACTAAGGGGTTGGAGCCAAATAATATCCATTGAAATGAGATATGCCAATGCTTATACAACTGCATACCAAATATCATTGACCTACCACTAGTGGTTCCCCATAAACTGACCTAATCACAAATTAATACATGTAAACTAAGCAAAAGTTTCAAAGTCAATAGACCATGACTGAGGGGCAGGGCCAAATAATCTCCAAGGAAATGAGATGTTCCAATGCTTATACAACTTCATACAAAATATCATTGACCTACCACTTGTGGTTCACCATAAACTAGACCTAATCACAAACTAAAACATTGTTGATGCCGCCGCCGCCACCGCCGACGACGCCGGAAACAACATACCAATGTCTCGCTTTTTGACTCCGTCAAGGCGAGACAACAACTTTTTTTTAAGCAGTCGCTGAACCATGAAAACGAGGTCATGGACATTTGACATATGACAGATGGAAACTTCGTAACATAAGGTATCTGCATACAAGATATGAAGCATCCAGGTCTTCCGCCTTCTGAAATATAAAGCTGTATACAAATAGTTTACCGCCGCCGCCGGATAGTTAAACCTATGTCTCGCATACTGCGACTTTCGTCGCAGGCGAGACAAAAATAGTTGATCTGGCGACCATGTTATTTTTTTCGACAATATGAAATTGTTTTAAAAATCATCTACGAGTCATTACTAGAATGAAATTCGTAAGAATCAATGACGTCGCTAAACAAAGGTCAATGTTGGTTAAAAATGCTTTACCGAAGAACGATGACGACAAACAGGCACACTACCATAATAGAAAAAAAAACAATGGGAAGCATACCAACTTTAAGACAGTACATCACACAAAAGTATAGATTATTACACGATAGTACATCAAACAAAATAAAATTGAGAATGGAAATGGGGAATGTGTTAAAGAGACAACAACTTGACCACCGAGCAGAAAATAGCCCAGGGCCACCAATGGGTCTTTAACACAGCGACAAAATCCTGCACCCGGAGGTGGGCTTCAATCCACCATTTTCTACATAAGAAAATGCCTGTACCAAGTTAGGAATATGACAGTTGTTATCCATTCGTTTGATGTGTTTGAGCTTTTGATTTTGCCATTTGATTTGGGACTTTCCGTTTTGAATTTCCTCAGAGTTCGGTATTTTTGTTATTTTACTTTTTTCAGCTTGCCGCTAAACACAAATGTGTGCTAGTTGAGTAAAGATAGACGTCACACTAAACTACGAAACATATAAATGAACTAAAATAACAAACAGATAAAACATACTAACAAGACTAACAAAGGCCAGAGGCTCCTGACTTGGAACAGGCGCAAAAATGCGGCGGGGTTAAACATGTTTAGTGAGACATAGATTATTACACGAAAGTACACCACACAATATCAATAAATATTACCCGAAAGTACATCATACAATAGTGCTGACTATTACAAGACAGTAAATTAAAACTATAGATTTGAATACAACAGTATATTTATACAAAAGTACAGTTCTATGACAAAACAGGTCAATGCACAAGGCACATTTTAAACAAAATATGACACGCCATGCATGTCATTAAAATGGAACACAAAGCACATGATATAAATCCAGTATGAAACACGAAGTTTTGCAGTTCAAATCGCCGAATAGTTCTTTTAGTGCAGCGACATGGTTAAAAAAAGTCGCTTATGTAAGGACTTTCATAAAGCCTACATCGCTGATAAACTATATTTTAAATGGATTTTTTCCATCTTCAGTTATACAGACGTTTTGCTTGTTTGTCAGATTTTCTGTATGCTTGTGAAAATCCTGTTCAAGTAATGATGGGAAATTGTTGTGAAATCAGTGAGAAATAGTTGATTTCAGAGTTACTAACTTTTGATTTGATTTTGTAAATTAATGAAGAAAGCCATGTCTTTTTACGATTACAAAATACTAAAAATGAAATAGATATATAACATTTTGTGTTTTAACATTTAAAATTCCAAATATTAAAATATCAAGACAGTAAATACATTAGGCTCAAACTTTTAGTGCAAGACTTAGAATTATAGTCGTATTTTTCTAACTGTCGGTTTGTTTTGATTGTTTCTAGTTTTCCGGAGACATTTGCACTTTACATAATTAGCCATATCATATGAAATTGCAAAATTCTGGATAACAAGTTTTGGTTGGATTTTATTCTTTTTTTTTAGGAGTTAAACTTATATATTCAAATGCTTTTAAGTTATGCATTCCATACCGTTCCTTAATGTATCACCATATCATAACATTCGTTTGACAATCGTGCGTAACAATAAATCTCGCTGGTTATGTTCAATATAGTAACTTCTAATTGAAAACTAGATTGCACATGTGGTTTTATTTTCTCTTAAAGAACTTAAATACTTTAAGTAGGATCAGTTTGTATTGATTGTGGGGGGTCCAACATTATTCCTATTTATATAAAAGACAAATGACCGCTCGATCAAATACATCCTGTAAGTAGTCCTTTATGCCTTTTTAAAGATATGTTTTATCATCTAAAGCTATCTCAGTATTAAAACATAATGAGTACAATAGATAAATATCATTGAAACTAAAATAATCATAATTCATCACGTTGACCGTTATCTGGAGTCGCTGATTCCAAATCAGAAGCTGGTAGTTGGTTTGACCAGAGGTCCAATATTTCAGGTTTGAAGTTACGTTTTTGTGTAATCTCATCGTCTAAATCCAGATAATTTTTGTATTCTATATCGAATGGTTTCCATGGTACCGATCCATCACCGGCGTATGGCAGTCTAAAATAACATAAAATAATGTGCCACTAGAATTAAAGGATGTTGGTGAAAAACATAGTTGTTTATTAGTGTCTTTAGCCAGTTACTTTAAATTTAGAGGCTGTTCTTTAAACAAAAACTATCGTATTTCATTTTCATTTTAACATTTCATTAAGCTCGATAACAAATTTCACAATACAATATTTCCTTTTTAATGCTCACAGGGTCGTTACTTTTAAAATAACATAGCTGATATTTCAGAATTTATGTATTGCATTAATTTTTAGAAAAGTTCTAATTATCATCCACCGTCTCTCAAGACTTATATATTACTCCCACAACAAAGGATGCGAACATTCATTCGAAATTTTAAACCTCCATCGCTTCAATCAAATTTAATTGACAGATTTCTAAGATATCAAATATGTCTCTAATTCTAGTCAATTCAGTCATAAATTTCCATTCGAAAAAAATATCAATAATTATCAGCTTTCAGTTACATATTTATTAAGAGAAAATGCGGATATCAAATGGATATTCAAACTTATAAGTCGAAGACAAACTGACAGCGCCATGGCAAAAAAAAAAACACGAAAAACACTCTAAAGAAAAACAGCTGTCTACAAAACAGAAAACAGAAAACAAAGACTGAGCAACAAGAACGTCATCAAAACCGGGGGGGTTATCTTAAGGGCTCTGGAAGGATCCATACATCTTTTTTCACACGAGGCACCCGTAATGTTACAAGTTCGGTGTATGTCAAATTCGGTGATGCAAAATTCCAGTAAGAGAGGACGGGGCTGTATTTACAACAATTGGAACATATTCGTCGTCATCTGTGAAACAGATACTCCATAACAATCATCAAAATGCAGGATGCCGTCTGTAAATTTTCGAAGGAATAACTTCAATTTCATCACATGAAATCTTTGATTTGGTAGCTGCTTAAAGGTAGCTGCCTTTTAAGCAGCCAGTCTATATCAAGGAAATCATGATAGGAAATGCATGCTTTGATTTATCGTATCAACTGGGAAATGTATATTCCATATACAGGTGCTGCTGTAATAATGATATAAAGAAACGAAAAAAGATCACAAATAGGGAGCTGAAATAAATGCGGTTATATATTTTTTTTTTCACGAAACAGAATTTTTCAAATATATAAAAGTTCAACTTGAATAAATTTTTTCAAAGGCGCATGTGCAAAATTTAAAGATTATGTTTCGGTGTCTTGTGTTTTTTGCGCTAGCAGAGACATATACTTACTTATCGTATCTTGATATACGCATTTGTAAAGACTAAAATCTAGCATTCCCTCAAAATGAGTAATTCACTGTTCTATATTTACAAATAAGTAGCTTAAAAGGTGATGCACGTGAAAAAGAAAAAAAAACTTCAGGAGTACCTGCGTTGATCCTATTGTAAGTGGACTTAAAGTCTCGCTTGACTTTTTATTTTGCAAATTAAAACTTAACTATCATTTTCGACTTACCCAGTCTTAGCAAAAGATGTCCAATAACTTAACATTTTCATCCCAAAATCCTCATCTTTATCATTCAGTATCACTTCTTCGTCCAGTGACAGAAACTTAATAATGTTGAAAAAGTAAAGCAATTCATCACCATGGCCGACACCTTTGAACCATGTAGGAGGAGCCCCGCCGAAAGGTTTTGGACTTAATTTGGATACCGCATATTGATATGTGTTACCTCCAGAGTGATATTCTAACATTTTATTGATAGCAAAGTCAAATGTAATGTCACCCCAGGCATCTGTTGCTTTTAAAGATTGATCTATGATAGACTCTGCGGAATAATATTTACACAGTTTGTCCTTGACTTTTGAGTTGTTAGAATACCACAAATCCACGAAGGGTGACAGTATTCCGTCACAAACGGCTTTCAATGGAATACCTTCAGTAACATTAAAGTCATAGTGTTCTTGAAAGCTTGGTGATAAACTCAAATTCAAATTCTCAAAAACAAAAGTTCAGCTTGATATATATTTTATAAAAGTCGCATGTATGAAATTTAAAGATTATGTTTCATTGTCTTGTGATTTTGCTCTAGCAGAGACATATACTATATCATGTCTCTGGTTCTAGATATACTTACTTAGTGTATCTCTCAAAGATGACTAAGGGCATCTTGATATATGCGCTTGTAAAGATTAAAATCTAGTATTCCCTCAAAATGAGTAATGCACTGTTCTGTATTTACAAATAAGTAGCTTGAAAGGTGTTGCGTGTGAAAAAAGAAAAGAAAACACCTTCAGGAGTACCTGCATTGGTCATATTGTATGTGGACTTAAAGTCTCTCTTAACTTTTCATTTTGCAAAATAAAACTTAACTATAATTTTCTGCTTACCCAGTCTTAGCAAAAGATGTCCAATAACTTATCAGTTTCTTTCCAAAATCCTCATCTTTATCATTCAGTATCTCTTCTTCATCCAGTGAAAGAAACTGTGTAATATTGAAAAAGTAAAGCAATTCATCACCATGACCAACACCTTTGAACCATGATGGAGGAAGCCCGCCGAAAGGTTTTGGACTTAATTTGGATACCACATATTGATATGTGTTACCTCCAGAGTGATATTCTAACATTTTATTGATAGCAAAGTTAAATATAATGTCAGCCCAGGCATCCGTTGCTTTTAAAGATTGATCTACAACAGACTCTGCGGAATAATATTTACACAGTGTGTCCTTGACTTTTGAGTTGTTGGCATAAAACAATTCCACGAAGGGTGACAGTATTCCGTCACAAACGGCTTTCAATGGAATACCTTCAGTAACATTAAAGTCATAGTGTTCTTGAAAGCTTGGTGGTAACATCATATATAGTGTGGATCCTTCGTTAGAAGTAGCCCCCGCCATGAAATCTAGAGAACGGAAAAACTGTGACACATCTGATGATTTGTCTTCAAGACTTTTAATTGGATGTTCAAGAAACAATTCACGATCTACGACCGGCATTCCAAGGGATTCAAACATCATCTTGTCCGCTGGCATTGAGGAAAAAACGTCGGTTAATTTAAGGATTTCATCAGCAGTTTTCTCTCTTAAGCAGTCAACGAATATTTGCTTTTCATCAAATGGACAGGAAGATTTTTCAGCTATTTCTGCTGCAAATTTTTCAACACTGCTATCTTTTAACACTACAAATCTAGATACAACACTACTCTGTGCAATAACTCGCTGAAAAAGTCCTTTATTCGAAGGTATAAGTGATTGAAATGATGCACTACATCCTCCCGCGGATTCGCCAAATACTGTAACAGACTCAGGATTACCTCCAAATGATGCAATATTATCATGTACCCATTGCAGTGCCATCTTTTGATCCCATAAACCATAGTTACCTCTTGCTGCAGAATCACCTACAGCAAAAAGACCAAATGCACCTAGTCTATAGTTTATCGTTACAATAATTACATTTCCTTCCATTGCAAGTTTTCCACCATCGTATTGGTGTCCATAACCAATCCAAAAACCGCCACCGTGTATCCATACCATTACTGATAAACGTTCGTGTAACTTTCTTGGAACGTAGACATTCAATACCAAACAATCTTCCGACATAGCTGGTCTACTAATTTCAGGTATGAAATCGATACCCGGCTGCATACAGATGTTTCCGAATTTTGTTCCATCATGAACTTCTTTCCGTTTTTCAAGTGGTTCTGTTTTTTTGAATCTCAATGGACCAATTGGTGGTTTGGCGAAGGGTATTCCCCTGAATTCATATAACGGTTCTCCTGTTTTGTGATAATTCAGTCTTAGTCCTTTGATTGGTCCAGACGGTGCATTTATAACCGCTGTGTCTTCGTTATTATCAGCACCAATTAGAACAACCAAAAAAGTAAATATTAAACACACGAGCGATGATGTCATTGTGGTATTACTATGATCTACCTAAATGAAAGATGAAATAACGATTTATGTTTTTTTTTTAATTTGGCACAACATTTCGAGATTTTTCGGTTTTAAATGCTATTCAAAAGTGTGGTATAAAAGCTGTTTTCAATCTGGTGAGTCTTAAATTGATAAAGCTCGCCTCTAGTCTGGTATCTTTGATGAGGTTTTATTACCACTACTTGGATGCTACTGCTGGTGGATGTTTTTTTCGGCATTTTCGCTGTTTATTACACTTGAAATATCAAGACTAAAGTTACTATACCGGATAGCAGTCTCAGTTATCATTTTAACATGTTTTTGCATCCGAAAGAATTGGTTATAATAGAGTATGAACTTATCTTATCAATCCATTAGTAACGTTTTGTTTTTAAGTTATGGTGTTACAACACTGTCATAGATTAAAGGGGGTTAAGCTCTCATAAACATTTTTAACTCCGCCACTTTCTGTACGTGCCTGTCCAAAGTCAGGAACCTGTAATTCAGTAGTTTTCGTTGGTTACTACATGTCTTTAATATTTGTTATTCGTTTATTATTTAAGCATAAGTCGATGAATTTCTCATTTCAATTGTTTTGTTTTTTTCAAGCCGGTCCCTTTTATAGTTACACTTTGGATTTGCTCATTGTTGAAGGCCGTGTGGTGACCTATGGTTGCCTACATCAATCACGGTCCTTTGGTCTCTGATGGATACATTTTAATTGGCAATTATACAATCTTTCATTGGTTCTTACTTTTCTTTTAAAGTAGTAAATTCCAAAAAAGAGCCAATTGATCGTTTTAGCAATGTGTAATATGTTCTGTAAATTTATCTACGCACTACAGTTTTCAAGATGATAGGCAGACAGGATAAAAATCGTCAAAAAACGTAATGCAAGTGCTATATCTCTTAAAAGGCGCAATTTTAAGGTTGAAATTAATATCGGGAAAATGTTACAATGCGTCAAAAATCTTAATTTAAGGGATATAACTACCTAATATAACTCCTTCGAGAAGTCAATTTATTGATCGAATCAGCTGACATATTTAAAGGTACCATCGCTTTATATGATTGCCATTTCTGCCCAGTAATCATAGACTTTCAGATCATTGGCAAAATGCTAAAATTCGTCATTTCAGGACAAGAAGTGAAAGGGGTCAATTTATGGTTTCAACCATATTTGCATGCTTGTAGATCCAGGTAAAGGAGTAGGTCCAGTAAGACCCCTTTTTGGCCCAAAAATCGAGCAGTTTAAAAAAATTGTCAAAATGTAAACTTTTAGCTATTTATTGGAAAGTAGAATACTTCTGCTACATGAATATGATATGTTTTTGACAATACAATGCACATATATCGGGTACTAGCATCATAAAGACATGCTAAATTACTGAAATCTTCACAATATTAGCTTTTGAGTTAAATTTTAGACGGTTTCCGTCTCAAATGGAAGTGGCCGCATTTGTGTTCATTCTTAATATTTAAATGTAATTTGTATTTGATGATAATACATAACATATATAAAGGTTGAGAGTGAACACGGATGCGGCCACTTTCTTTTTTGACAAAAAACATCTGAAAAATGACATAATATGTCATATTTGATAGATTTTCATATTTAAGCTTGAATTTGAGGGTCTTTAATGACTAAATCAGTTCAAATCTTTCACATAAGCTAACTGAATCGACTGAAGTAGACACTTAAGTGTTTAAAAAGTGTCCAAAATCTTTCATCCGATGAACTTGAAATTTGCGGCCAAAATCGGCCCTTACCGGACCTACTCCTTTTGCTGTTTACCGTATCTGTTAATCAATAATAATTTTACAAAAAAAAAAAAAAAACAGTTTCGGAAGGAGAAAGGAAGGAAAACTTTACGACAGACGCAAAGTGGCAATATAAATCGTTAACAGAATGAATATATTTTATGCTTTTTTTCAAGAATTATTTTTTCGCCATTGTAAGTCATTGATAACATGTTCCGGGAAGTTTGAGTCGCTCACCGAACATATATCGACGCCTTAGCAGTCATAAACAGTTATTTGTTATGGTTGTCCATTGTTCTCTATTTTGCAGGGGAAGAGGCTATAAGCAGCAGTGGTGCCTAATTGGAAAATATATATGTAGATATAAGAAGATGTGGTATGAGTGCCAATGAGATAACTCTCCATCCAAGTCAAAATTTATAAAAGTAAACCATTAAAGGTCACAGTACGGTCTTCAACACGGAGCCTTGGCTCACACCGAACAGTAAGCTATAAAGGGCCCCAAAAATTACTAGTGTAAAACCATTCAAACGGGAAAACCAACGGTCTAATCTATATAAAAAACGAGAAACGAGAAACACTTATGTACCACATCAACAAACGACAACTACTGAACATCAGATTTCTGACTTAGGACAGGTGCAAACAAATGCAGCGGGTTTAAACGTTTTAATGGTACCAAACCTTCACCCTTTTTTTGAAACAATAGTGTAACATCACAACATATAAAGACACACTATAAAATATCTATTGAAATAGCTTTACTCAATCAAAGGACATATTTACACCATAGAACATACACTGAACAAATAAATTTGACCTATGATACAATGTAAATACAAAATAAATATGTATTTTTTTAACACAACACCCTGAGGATAGTTATTGCACAGTTTGGTCAATATTGGGTGTCCAGTGATTTCAGAAATGGAAATATATCGGACAGACGGTGTTTTATTATTCCAGGGGGAAAACACACACTTACCTTTGCAAAAATAACAGAAGACAGCTAGTATCTATCTACCTGTAAAATCGATCTTTTTTATAGTACACATAGTTCTGGAAATTGAACCTTACATAATGAAAATGCCTTATTTGGTAATCAAGTGATTTCTTCAAAATTAGTCAGTTATATTCATTTAAAAAAACATTATAAAATGCTAAAATGATATGCTGTTTATTTCAGAAGGTCTTATTCATACAAGATGAAATGAAGCCTTTTAAGGGTTTGAAGAGTTTTAATTAGTGTAGCTGAAGATGACAAATTCAAAAGTGTTTGAAAAAGGTAAACGTTATCAGCGAAAGAAATATTCATACTTGTATACTTAAACAAAAATCGAAAAAAAGTTTCGTTTCTGTCATTTAGGTCTTATACATATGAAAAATTATCCTTTTAACTTCCAAATTTAACGCAAATTCCATCTACATTTCGGACATCCATCTTAAATGGAGGCGGATTTTCGAACTCAAAAGCAATGTCATGGTAGAAAACGAAAAACGACCAAAAGACAAACAACAGTCAACAAAACATAACATAGAAAACTAAAGACTGAGCAACACGAACCCCCACCAAAAAAAACGGGGGTGATCTCCAGAAAGGTTAGTAAATCATGCTCAACATGTGACAACCGTCGTGTTACTCCTATGAAATATGTTTACAAGTTGACTAGGCATCACGCAATAGCAGTTTGGTAACTTTACTTTCCGTTCTAGTATTATTACATCAGCCAAAGAATGTCCTCCCTACAAATTTTTGTGCAAATGCCGCCAATGTTATTAAATTTTCAAACAAGATCTATACAAGTGAATAGACGAGATCTAAAGTCTGCCCATTTTTATGGCAACACAATTGTCAAAAAGTGTTCGAATTTTTAATGAAATCCACACTCACAGTTCCATGTGACTATTCTTGTGGTTCTGATAACATAAAGTCATATTTCTAGACACTAAAAATAATAAAAGCTTATAAATAACTTTTAATGTTATAAATCCAAATTTATGGCAAACCCTCATAAAGATCCAACAAAACACCACATGATGAATATTTTTAACAAAACAAGAAGATATTTAAAAAATTACATATTATTCATTAACTGGGGTATTTGATATGCAGATTTTTACGGTAATGTTGTTAATAAAGCTTAAAAATTAAGGAATGCCGTCTAATTTAACTGTTGTTATTCAATCGTTATTACTTATACTTATGTGTGTGTGTGTGTGTGGGGGGGGGGGGGGGGGGGGGATTAAAATCAATTCGTTTATTTATTTTTTATAATGTAATGCAATACTAAAAAGTTTATTTTGTTTTCTGTATAGATTGTGGACAAAATCATGTCTTCCTCTTTTTTTTCAGAAGTAAGTGCTGGTTTTTATTCGTTGTTCTTTTAGGAATGTTTTGTTATACTACTGATCGAATTTAAAAAGGGGTGATTGAGATCTTTTTTGTAACTTTTTATGGAGTAATAGAATTAAATCTAAAATTGTGCGATTAGTAAATGGGTTACTATTTAAGGGATATTAGCTACGGTTTAGACATAAAATAGGATATTTTTTGTTTCAACAATTTATAAAAAAATATCGCTGATGTATTATTGGTTTGCAAGTCAATGATTCAAACTCATTTGAATCCGTATACGTGGAGCCTTCAATTTCACCCTTAGCTGGAGATGGGTTGCGCATGTTCAGTTGATTAAAAGAAAAGAATGCCAAACTTACTGCTGGACTTCAAATAAACCAGTTTGATATTTTTTTTAACTTATTTTTAACCCAAAATGCTATAAAATTCCATGTAGGGTGCTACATCTGTCAAATAATACTGCTGAAAACATTTTCTGTGATAATTATGACTGTACATTAATTTGCACATTTTCATTTTTATAAGGCCACAATTCTCTTTCTGAAATCCCACATAAAACATATATTCTTATACCAAGTCAGCTATATTTGGGGTTATGCATCACTTCATATGGCTGTCTTGTAAATTGTTATTTAAAAAATGATCCCCACTTGAACACCAAGTAAAATTCAACTTGACATTAATGATACTACCGAAACGAAGTTTTTTTCTTGAAATTGACAGAGATGGACGACTTCAACTAGATATGGACAGGATTGACTATTTCAGTTTTCCCATGGTCACCTTCAAATTTGTCAGTCGTAACATATCATCTGTCCTTTGGTAAATTCATTGTTTTATTATGGCGTCAACATATCTCTCTGGATAAAATTCGAATATTACGGCTAAGACTATGTGAAAATTTCCAACAAATCTATGGCTTGCATGAATTATTAATGACAAAGAAACTTACACACCCTTTATAAAATGTCTAGTACACCATTTGAAAATAATATTTCTAAGGGTGTATGATTACTCGTGCGTCAGGCCAATTCAATGACTCAAATATACAATTTACACTGATGTGATAGAGGTTATGAGTGTGGAAAAATAAATTCCTTATCTCCAATTTTAAAGAATTATAAAGATTAAACGCATTTTTAAAGGAATTTATTGGTGTATAAACTGGACCAAGTCACTCACAAACATATCATAAAAGTCCTTCGGACTTTTATTTGTTTGTGAGTGAAGTGGTCGAGTTTATACACCAATAAATTCCTTTAAAAGGGCGTTTAATCCTATAATATATAAAAGTCGCACAGGCCTTTAAAAGTAAAAAGTACTCTTTAGTAGACCCCCCCCCCCCCCCCCCCTGCATAAACAAAATACACTACGCACAATTAGACAGGTAAGTAACCTTAAGTATATCTGACTTGCAGGTTCTGAGAATCATAATAATGATGACTGAGAAAGAAAAAAAAAAAAACCATTATCTCCAAACTTCGTCTGGCAACCCATATAAGGAATGAGCATAATATTATACAGTGAGTCAATAAATGGAACGCAATTTAAATGAAGGCCATAAAAGGAATTATACTTAAAACGAGACTTAAAAAGCAGTCTATAAAAAGAATTTGATTGCAGAGAGCAATTCATAGGTCGGGACATTTTATATTTAGATAAGGCTATACAAGTTTACATTTTAATCTGATATACACGTACTCTATTTATATAGCTTGTTTGTCAATGAATAAGAGACATGAAATCACGGGCATTTAAAAAAATCGATAACAAATTACTAAAGTTCACAGTATGACATCTTCATAATATGCTCACTTTTGAGGTTGTAAATACACTATATAGTGTATTCTGAACACGGTATTTAATTTCAAAGAGATGAAGACGACATAAAAACTGCAATTTTATTTAAGTTTTTGATTTTATGGATATATAATAAAAATGTTCAAACTCCCCGGCAGTTCCAGCTTCGATCCGCATACTACTCTACACTAATGGAGTAAAGGAAAAAAGTTCCGGAACGGAAACGATCACTGTACGGAGTTTGAAAAATGTTCTTATAATCAATATCTATTTTATTTCGGCTCTGCATTATCAAAATTCCGGTATGTTTTTAAAAAAAATCGGATTTTACCTTATCGACACTTTGGCTGGTTCATACACAAGACCGTTTTCAATATATACAGATTTATTTACACATTTATTTACAGTCCGAAATACCAGGGGAAGACTCCCTAATAAGCAACAATTTACAAAATCAATTATTCATTCATTCAAAATTAATCATAGGTAAAACGCCAGCTTAATGTTATTAAGATTATTTTCTTCTGTTATTGTCCAAAATTTTATAATATTAATCGTATTGATAATTAGTGTCTAAGGCCAGCCAAACTTCGTAATTTATAACGATAATTGCTTCTTTGAAGTTGACGAGTGTAAAATATAACCTAAATTGTTGAAATCAATAATAAAATTTGACTTTTGAAAATAAAGACACATTTGACATAAACAAATCTACATTCAAAATCCTTGTAATATTAATACTGAGCACTTTTCAAATTTTTGTAAAAAGTTCCATAATGTCATAGATTTTCCAACCTTTCTATGAACGGTTACAAGAGTAATATAATGGTCAAATCCGTGTTTTGTTTCCTATGAGTGTAAAATAACAGATTGTTATGATGCTGTTTTGCATCATGTCCAGTGGCAACTATTTGATATATATTATGAACGAAGTCGTTGAAAAAATGATTTATTTGAGAAGTCATTATAAACTGTGTAAAAATTCCTTAACATGATTTTTTTTTATGAAAATGAAAATAAACCTTCTCACTGTAAAGTTGATCAGACTTAGAGATATCATGCACCGTTAATGAGGTGGTCTTACTGTATTTACAATGTTATTATTAAAATAGGGAGATGTGGTATGAATGCCAATGAGACAACTCTCTATCAGAGACCAAATCACGTAAAAGTTATTGCCTTTTTCGTATATTTTTACTTTGACTCTGAGCATTAAAATGTTGAATTAAAAGATGCAGTGCGTGGTGTGATGGTTCCCATATAAAAATAAGGAGATGTGGTATGATTGACAATCAGACAACTATCCAAAAAAGGTTTTAAGAAAAGTGGATGTAAGCAAATATAGTCAACCGTACGCTTTCAACAATGAGAAAAAAAACCCATACCGTATAGTCGGCTATAAAGTTCCCGACATGAAAAATATGAAACAATTCAATTAAGAAAACTAACGGCCTAATTTATAACAAAACAAAACCCATCTTTTTTTAGTAAACGACTGTACCTTCGCAATAAAATAAGATATTTGTTGCCTCGTTTTTAACATTTTAGTATTGTTTCGACATCATACATGTCATGTTTGTTGTTTTTATTTTGTGAAGGTGGCTTAGTTTGTTAAATTTATGTTTTTCGATGTAATTATTTTCCCTATTGGCTGATTAGTATGGTTAACAAATGATTTCTGGCATGAGTTCCTCTGGATTCAGGTCGTGGTCTTCATCAACGGCATCGATTGGTTCGTCTGGCGATTCTCTGGATCGAGATACTTAATCAACGACATCGATTGGTTCCTTTGACGATTCTCAGGATAGAGATACTTCATAAACGGTATCGATGGGTTCATCTGGCGATTCTCAGGATCGAGATACCTCATCGACGACATCGATTGGTTCGTC